TTTCATATATCATTTTTATCTTATAAAAGTTAAGAGTTCGATTTACGTCTAATAGCATGAAGGGTATATCCAATAAATGTTTATAAAAATGCTTAGTATTCAACCGTAATTTAACCGACATATGTTATTAAATGCTTTTATTAGCATTTTTGCTAAATGTATTATCATCATATGGTAAAAAAACATATATATTTATTAAATTATTTTTTGATGAGTTTTCTAAAATACAGCTTAAATTTAATATAAAAATACATGACGAAAGGATTTGTTGGTTGAGATTTTTCTTGTTTCCTGCTATTTCAATACATAAAAGTTCTAGATATAATATTCTACCTTATCAATTCAGATAAGCTAAAATTACATTTATAATTTTGCAAACGTTTTTTTAACGGCCCTAACTAATAATTTTTAGGTCAGTGCAAAAAAAGAAATGCTAAGAGTCTAGCCTCAAAGCCAAATGCACTTGTGTATTTTCGTCTATGAATAGTTGAATGATGGGCAGATATGCCGAAGATATATAAAATACTGAGAAAAAAGTTAAACAGAAAAAGTAGGTTTACTGAATATTGCCTGCCACTCCACCAGAAAAATGGCTTCCATGGACAATTTCGTGACTATTTGTTAATACAGAGCTGCTTTGCTTAGCTGCCATATACTTTCTATTCCCTCTTGGTCTGGTTTCTTCAGAGTGTATTGTTATGGTATGCGTATCAACTAAAGATGGGTTCGAAGGTTCCTTGGGAGTTGCACATAAGCCACCGATCCATGTGCTATACGGAGAGCTGGAAAAACAGTATAAATAGATCTGTAATAGAATAAATCCCCCGAGCTGAGCAACTGTGATCACCAGGAGGGCTGGGAGATAGTACCACACTTGACGTTGAGAGAAGTATGCGTACCAAGCACCGATCATGCAGGCGTTTTCAAGATAGTAGGCCATATAGTAAATAAGGTAGCGAATTCGAGTACTTCCAGTATTTGCGTTCATATAATCAAAGAATGCAGCATATGAGTAACCGATATCGGAGAGAAGACTACTGGAGAATATCATCCACTATCACACATAAAGGAGTATGCAAAATATGAGCATAAATTTGATTAATATTTAAAAAAGCATTAAAACGATGTTTTAAGCAAATTCAATCAAAGCATACATAAATTAATTTTTTATGTTAAATCTACGGTGCAAAATAAATAGCTTAAAGTTAATAACTAATATATGAGAGGTATTCATTCTATTTCGTACAAGGTGATAATGAATAGTTGAATTTTCCTACAACGATATAAGCATTCATGGCATTTCCATTGAATTTCATATAACCTTACCTTCCTAAAAGTTATTCTTCTTCAGGGTTGACTGCAGTTTCGATCTCACCCAGATCTTATCAACATTCCTAGAGGAAGCGAACCGTGAGTGTGCTGAGTATAATCTCGTCAGGTTAACCACTACGCCGCATTGCTATGAATACCCTTGGATAACAGGGCAGTTGTAGATTTCAAGGAAGGCCAGATATTTTCCAAGATTACACTATGTAGTTGGATTGTCGATGAAGCAGTTGTATTTTCTATAGAAATCGATTACATTACCTATTTTCCGTTTATAAGTAGGCTTTCGAGACTAACAGTAGATCATATATATATATATATATATATGAGATATATTCATTCGATTTCTTTTAGCATGGTCTTCATATGCTAACTTCAATGGAAACATCATGTATACTCAGATCACTGTGGGAAAATTCAATTACCAGTCCCCTTATCACCATAAATGAAGAAAGATGAATACATCTCATATACATGATCTACTAGTAGTCTCGATAACCTACTTATAAACGAAACATAAGTAATGTAGTCGATTGTAATAGCAAATGCAACTTTGCTTCAATGAAAATCCCACCTCGGAATGTAATATTGGGAAATGCCTGGCCTCCTGTGATATCCTCATCTGCCCCCTGGCGCAAGGACACTAGTGGCAATGCGGTGTAATGGTTAACGTGTCGAGATTATACGCTACACTCTCATAGTTAGAGTCTCGCTGTGAGTGTTGATAAGACTCAGATGAGATCGAAACTGCAGTCCACCCTTTTAAGAAAGCTCGGCTATGTAAAATTCGACGGAAACGTCAGCTATACTCATATATTTGTGGAAAAAGTCAACTACAAGTCCCCTCATCACCCTAAACGAAATAGGATGAATATATCTCGTATATATATATGAACGAATGGTAGTCTCAACAGCCTACTTATAAACGAAAAATATTAACTAATAATTTTAATAACTTCCAAAAAGGCTGATCGGATATATCTATGAATAACAAAATTTGAAGCGTAAGCATGAACTATATTGCAAGAATATAAAATGCGTTTACATTCAACGTAAGCAGATGCTCGATATATTTTTGATTTCAGTAAGTGCTTTATTTAAACTCTTAATAACAAGAAATAGTTATGAAATGAACGTACGTTAGCCTCTGAAAACTGTATAATGAGATTTTCAAAGCATTCTCAAATATATTAAAGCGCAATTCTAAAAATTATGGCAAAAGTAGCGGCTTTTATATCTTTATGTTCACAGCCTTACAATATCAAATAAGGATGCTAACTATAAATTTTAACTTAAGAATCAATAAAAATTTACTTAAATCGCTTTTAATCAATCTGTCCAGAGTGCAACATTCAAAAAGGAGGGAATAAATAACAGATTTTCTAGCAAGACTATGGCAAAACTTGAGTCAAACAATAAAATAATTTTCATTTTTAAGTAAGCTTTATAGTCTAGTCGCAGAT